ACCTCCCGTCGTTCCGACTGTCTTTATCCACCTGCATCGTCTTCTCTTCTCATGAACGAGCACAAACCCCATCAAAGTCCCAGCTCGAGTCCACGCTGGATGAGGACTGAGGTGCCATTTTGGGCTTTCTAGCTACACACCGTCTTGCAGCCAATATCGGCACAGGTGACTTTGGGTGCTTTAGCGGAGGGATTTTCGAGTTCGTCAGTATACATCGCAAGTGCCAGGAAGACCCGTACTCACTCTTTACTTCTCCGTTTCTCTCACTCTTCAAAGATACCTTTCTGCAGAATGCTGACTTGAGGAAGGAGCCAGTGAGAATCTCTCTCTTCCTCTGTCTGTCTGCAGCTCTGTCTCATGGGTCGGGACACACACGTGCACACACACGCACACCCTCTGATGGTAGCATCCCAGATCCTCCTTGAAGAAACAGGAGACGGTATTCCACAGGCTTGGGAGCATTCCATTCGTTGTCTCGTCTTTCCTTCTTTCCTTCCCTCCTTCTTTCTTTCTTCTGCCTTCTTTCCTTCTGCCTTGTGTTTGCTTCCTCGATATTGAGGCAAGCACCTTTTATCATCAAGGGAAGGGACTTTGGACTTTACCTCCCTTGTTCCATGTCACTTGATCCCCACACCCCCTCGTCCCGAAGCCCTCCATGTCAAGAGGCACGACTTGTCCGTGGGCGCACGCATCCATCACGCATGTCCTAACGTAGCCAGCAAAAGCAGGAGAGGATGCCCACTGATGGTTGGTTTTCGTTCCTCGAAAGCTTGCAGACGGAGGTCCCATTTCCTGTTGTCTGTTTTTGTCAGGTGATTGGCCTTGGCCATACTTTGTGGTTTCATTAGACTGGTTGCCCTCTGTCCAGGATGCGATGCCGATCGGTAACATCGCTGGTTCGGCCCGGGGAAACCGTCACCAGTATCCAGTTTCCTCTCAGGTCATTTCACAAATTTCAGCCAATTGATTTGCCGACAAAGGGAAAGTGTTCCAGGGGAAGCCGAGGAGAGTGAGTAAAGAACTCATGGCAGTAGGGGCAGTCCTTGTTTTGGAGAATGCCAGCATCCGTCAACAGGAAGAGACGAGAGTCCTCTGAAAATCCTGGGAAGCAAAAGGATTCGCTATGTCTCAACGAGGTAGCCCACCATCCAAGTCATCTTTGGAAAAGAATTGCGTGTGACGCAAATTATTTGGTGGCCTCTGTACTTCTACTTAGAATGACCGTCCGCTGACTTCCGCTGAGAACGTCGGGGTTATGAATATTGAATGAGGGGTGGAGATCTGAAAGTAGGTGTGGACTGGACGGGCCCCCGCTGGGACCTGACGGGCCAGTCCCGCCGCCCTTCCGGGAGCTGCTCAGTTGGCCGGCTGACTCCGTGGAACCCAGGCGACTCTTCCCACCATGGAGGGGACGAGCAGCCCGAGAGACTCTCTGCCCAGAGAATCCCGACGCAGGAGGGTTGTTCTGAGCTCGAGTCAAAAGGGTGCTCTGCAAGCATCATTTGAGCAGAACCCCTACCCTGGTATAGCGGCCAGAGAAGGACTGGCCAGAGCAATTGGCATTCCAGAATGTAGAATCCAGATTTGGTTTCAAAACCAGAGAACACGACAGCTGAGGCAGAGTCGACTCAAGTCCCGAGGCTCCTCAGGAGAACAGCAAGTGCAGACTGAGGAAGGGCCTCGTCCTCACGCTCAGGAACGCGTCCCCAGGGAAGGGCGACGAAAGCGCACGTCCATCACCGGCGCCCAAACCAGAATCCTCATTGAAGCTTTTGAGAAGAATCGGTTTCCTGGAATTGCCACCAGGGAAGAACTGGCTACACAAACAGGCCTCCCGGAAGCCAGAATTCAAATCTGGTTTCAGAACCGAAGAGCTCGGCACCCAGGCCAGAAGAGCCCAGGCGGAGGCGTGAATTTCCTGGCAGAAGGCTCAAAACGAGCGCAAACCCCGTCAAAGTCCCAGCTCGAGTCCATGCTGGATGAGGACTGAGGTGCCATTTTGGGCTTTCTAGCTACACACCGTCTTGCAGCCAATATCGGCACAGGTGACTTTGGGTGCTTTAGCGGAGGGATTTTCGAGTTCGTCAGTATACATCGCAAGTGCCAGGAAGACCCGTACTCACTCTTTACTTCTCCGTTTCTCTCACTCTTCAAAGATACCTTTCTGCAGAATGCTGACTTGAGGAAGGAGCCAGTGAGAATCTCTCTCTTCCTCTGTCTGTCTGCAGCTCTGTCTCATGGGTCGGGACACACACGTGCACACACACGCACACCCTCTGATGGTAGCGTCCCAGATCCTCCTTGAAGAAACAGGAGACGGTATTCCACAGGCTTGGGAGCATTCCATTCGTTGTCTCGTCTTTCCTTCTTTCCTTCCCTCCTTCTTTCTTTCTTCTGCCTTCTTTCCTTCTGCCTTGTGTTTGCTTCCTCGATATTGAGGCAAGCACCTTTTATCATCAAGGGAAGGGACTTTGGACTTTACCTCCCTTGTTCCATGTCACTTGATCCCCACACCCCCTCGTCCCGAAGCCCTCCATGTCAAGAGGCACGACTTGTCCGTGGGCGCACGCATCCATCACGCATGTCCTAACGTAGCCAGCAAAAGCAGGAGAGGATGCCCACTGATGGTTGGTTTTCGTTCCTCGAAAGCTTGCAGACGGAGGTCCCATTTCCTGTTGTCTGTTTTTGTCAGGTGATTGGCCTTGGCCATACTTTGTGGTTTCATTAGACTGGTTGCCCTCTGTCCAGGATGCGATGCCGATCGGTAACATCGCTGGTTCGGCCCGGGGAAACCGTCACCAGTATCCAGTTTCCTCTCAGGTCATTTCACAAATTTCAGCCAATTGATTTGCCGACAAAGGGAAAGTGTTCCAGGGGAAGCCGAGGAGAGTGAGTAAAGAACTCATGGCAGTAGGGGCAGTCCTTGTTTTGGAGAATGCCAGCATCCGTCAACAGGAAGAGACGAGAGTCCTCTGAAAATCCTGGGAAGCAAAAGGATTCGCTATGTCTCAACGAGGTAGCCCACCATCCAAGTCATCTTTGGAAAAGAATTGCGTGTGACGCAAATTATTTGGTGGCCTCTGTACTTCTACTTAGAATGACCGTCCGCTGACTTCCGCTGAGAACGTCGGGGTTATGAATATTGAATGAGGGGTGGAGATCTGAAAGTAGGTGTGGACTGGACGGGCCCCCGCTGGGACCTGACGGGCCAGTCCCGCCGCCCTTCCGGGAGCTGCTCAGTTGGCCGGCTGACTCCGTGGAACCCAGGCGACTCTTCCCACCATGGAGGGGACGAGCAGCCCGAGAGACTCTCTGCCCAGAGAATCCCGACGCAGGAGGGTTGTTCTGAGCTCGAGTCAAAAGGGTGCTCTGCAAGCATCATTTGAGCAGAACCCCTACCCTGGTATAGCGGCCAGAGAAGGACTGGCCAGAGCAATTGGCATTCCAGAATGTAGAATCCAGATTTGGTTTCAAAACCAGAGAACACGACAGCTGAGGCAGAGTCGACTCAAGTCCCGAGGCTCCTCAGGAGAACAGCAAGTGCAGACTGAGGAAGGGCCTCGTCCTCACGCTCAGGAACGCGTCCCCAGGGAAGGGCGACGAAAGCGCACGTCCATCACCGGCGCCCAAACCAGAATCCTCATTGAAGCTTTTGAGAAGAATCGGTTTCCTGGAATTGCCACCAGGGAAGAACTGGCTACACAAACAGGCCTCCCGGAAGCCAGAATTCAAATCTGGTTTCAGAACCGAAGAGCTCGGCACCCAGGCCAGAAGAGCCCAGGCGGAGGCGTGAATTTCCTGGCAGAAGGCTCAAAACGAGCGCAAACCCCGTCAAAGTCCCAGCTCGAGTCCATGCTGGATGAGGACTGAGGTGCCATTTTGGGCTTTCTAGCTACACACCGTCTTGCAGCCAATATCGGCACAGGTGACTTTGGGTGCTTTAGCGGAGGGATTTTCGAGTTCGTCAGTATACATCGCAAGTGCCAGGAAGACCCGTACTCACTCTTTACTTCTCCGTTTCTCTCACTCTTCAAAGATACCTTTCTGCAGAATGCTGACTTGAGGAAGGAGCCAGTGAGAATCTCTCTCTTCCTCTGTCTGTCTGCAGCTCTGTCTCATGGGTCGGGACACACACGTGCACACACACGCACACCCTCTGATGGTAGCGTCCCAGATCCTCCTTGAAGAAACAGGAGACGGTATTCCACAGGCTTGGGAGCATTCCATTCGTTGTCTCGTCTTTCCTTCTTTCCTTCCCTCCTTCTTTCTTTCTTCTGCCTTCTTTCCTTCTGCCTTGTGTTTGCTTCCTCGATATTGAGGCAAGCACCTTTTATCATCAAGGGAAGGGACTTTGGACTTTACCTCCCTTGTTCCATGTCACTTGATCCCCACACCCCCTCGTCCCGAAGCCCTCCATGTCAAGAGGCACGACTTGTCCGTGGGCGCACGCATCCATCACGCATGTCCTAACGTAGCCAGCAAAAGCAGGAGAGGATGCCCACTGATGGTTGGTTTTCGTTCCTCGAAAGCTTGCAGACGGAGGTCCCATTTCCTGTTGTCTGTTTTTGTCAGGTGATTGGCCTTGGCCATACTTTGTGGTTTCATTAGACTGGTTGCCCTCTGTCCAGGATGCGATGCCGATCGGTAACATCGCTGGTTCGGCCCGGGGAAACCGTCACCAGTATCCAGTTTCCTCTCAGGTCATTTCACAAATTTCAGCCAATTGATTTGCCGACAAAGGGAAAGTGTTCCAGGGGAAGCCGAGGAGAGTGAGTAAAGAACTCATGGCAGTAGGGGCAGTCCTTGTTTTGGAGAATGCCAGCATCCGTCAACAGGAAGAGACGAGAGTCCTCTGAAAATCCTGGGAAGCAAAAGGATTCGCTATGTCTCAACGAGGTAGCCCACCATCCAAGTCATCTTTGGAAAAGAATTGCGTGTGACGCAAATTATTTGGTGGCCTCTGTACTTCTACTTAGAATGACCGTCCGCTGACTTCCGCTGAGAACGTCGGGGTTATGAATATTGAATGAGGGGTGGAGATCTGAAAGTAGGTGTGGACTGGACGGGCCCCCGCTGGGACCTGACGGGCCAGTCCCGCCGCCCTTCCGGGAGCTGCTCAGTTGGCCGGCTGACTCCGTGGAACCCAGGCGACTCTTCCCACCATGGAGGGGACGAGCAGCCCGAGAGACTCTCTGCCCAGAGAATCCCGACGCAGGAGGGTTGTTCTGAGCTCGAGTCAAAAGGGTGCTCTGCAAGCATCATTTGAGCAGAACCCCTACCCTGGTATAGCGGCCAGAGAAGGACTGGCCAGAGCAATTGGCATTCCAGAATGTAGAATCCAGATTTGGTTTCAAAACCAGAGAACACGACAGCTGAGGCAGAGTCGACTCAAGTCCCGAGGCTCCTCAGGAGAACAGCAAGTGCAGACTGAGGAAGGGCCTCGTCCTCACGCTCAGGAACGCGTCCCCAGGGAAGGGCGACGAAAGCGCACGTCCATCACCGGCGCCCAAACCAGAATCCTCATTGAAGCTTTTGAGAAGAATCGGTTTCCTGGAATTGCCACCAGGGAAGAACTGGCTACACAAACAGGCCTCCCGGAAGCCAGAATTCAAATCTGGTTTCAGAACCGAAGAGCTCGGCACCCAGGCCAGAAGAGCCCAGGCGGAGGCGTGAATTTCCTGGCAGAAGGCTCAAAACGAGCGCAAACCCCGTCAAAGTCCCAGCTCGAGTCCATGCTGGATGAGGACTGAGGTGCCATTTTGGGCTTTCTAGCTACACACCGTCTTGCAGCCAATATCGGCACAGGTGACTTTGGGTGCTTTAGCGGAGGGATTTTCGAGTTCGTCAGTATACATCGCAAGTGCCAGGAAGACCCGTACTCACTCTACTCCTACAACCCTCACCTCACCTTCCCTCACCTCCCTTCCCTCCCATTTCCCCCATCACCTCCTTCTCCCCTCACCTGCAT